CTAGACCAAGAGGCTGTTAGAACAAAGAAAGGATTTAGAAATCAAGAAAGGTGTGCATCAGGACTCCTTAACCTGAAGATCTACTGGCCTAGGAACACAAAGTCTCTATCAATGACTTTTGGTAGCTACAGAGATTGGCCCCAGTTTAAGAAGTTCACCCAACTTTTCCTTTTCCTCTTTGCAAAGGCTGAACCAGTAGCTATATTGTAACGGTTCTAGGCTAAGTCTTGAGGAGACAAAAGCATTGGAATCTCTTTATTTCATCATTCTAAAGCATCTTCCTTCACTAAGAACCATTTTCAAATTAAGCATTAATCACTTATTCTTAAGGATTAATAATATCCGTATAGATGCAACACAATAAAAGCCTCAGCAGGAGTTTGATTTTTAATATAGAAACCAATAAGCTGATTCCAAAATTTATATGGAACGACAAAGGAATTGAAATAGCCAAAACAATCTAGAAAAAACCCAACAGTTACAAAAGCAATTCAACCAAACATCCATGTATCAAAAAAAAGACATCTATACCTATCCTTGTATCATATACAAAAATTGACTAAATATATACATATTTTTCTAGATATAAATATAAAAACTAAAGTTATAAAACTTCTAGAAAAAAACAAAGGAGGAAAATATTTGACACTTTGGGTTACCAAAAAATTTATTATATATGATTAATTAAGGTAGAGTTAAACAAATTAGATTTCACAAAAATTTACAACTTCTGCTCTTTAAAAGATACTGTGAAGGGAAAAATTTTTTAAAAAAAGATATGGTGAAAGGATTAAAAACAGAAGCTTAAAACTGAGAGAAAAATCATATATCTGATGAAGGACTTGTGGCCAAAATGAATTTACCCAATTTTAAAAACGAGTGAAAATTTGAATAAGTAAATAACATACAGAAAAAAAAAGTTTAACATCATAGTTATGAGTCCGCAATGAGATATAACTATAAATCTATTAGAATGGCTAGAATTAATTACTGGGAAGTATATGCAGCAGCTTAGAAATAAGTGACTGTTGTTAGGTGCCATCAGGTCAACTATGATGCACAGCAACCTTATGAATGACAGACAGATCGATCAGAACCTTGCACCATCCTCACAATCTCTGTCCCTGTTGTTTTCATCCTGGTAATTTTAGTTCTAGGCATTTATTCAAGTGAACTAAAAACCTATACACAAAATCAATGTTTGACTATTTGTAATCACTCCAAACAGTAAACAACCCAAATGTGCCTCAAGTAGAGAATATGTAAACTGTAGTACATTCCTACTCAACACTGAAATACGAACAAATTACTGATACATGCAACAACACAGATGACTCTGAAATGTATTAATCTGAGAAGAATGGGAATCTCAGAACACTTGATTGTGCTTATGCAAAACCTATACTTGGACCAGGACGCAGTCATCAGAACAGAGCAAGGGAACACTGCAAGATTTAAGCCAGGGATACATCCTATCTCCATACTTTTTCAATCTACATGCAGAATAGATCATCCAGGAAGCGGGGCTCTGCAAGGAGGAACATGGCATTAGAACTGGAAGAAGACTCATCAACAAAGTGTATTATGCAGATGACACAATCTTGCTTGCTGAACTGAGGAGGACCTGATGTGTTTGCTGCAGAAGGTCACGGTCTACAGGCTTCAATATGGATTGAAGTACAATATCAAGAAAATAAAGATTCTCACTACTGGGCTCACTGGCAACAACATGATAGATGGTGAAAAGATTGAGATCGTTAACAGCTTTCATTTGCTTAGCTCCACAATCAACACTTTCAGTACCAGCAAAATCAAAGGACGAATTGCCTTGGGAAAATCTCGTGTTAGGGACCTTGCTAGAATACTGAAGAGCAATGATGTCAGTCTGTAGACTAAGATGTGCCCCATTCAGGCCATGGTCTTCACAATTACTTGCTATGCTTCAGAAAGCTGGACAACGATTAGGGATAGAAGGAGAACCTTTGCTTTTGAGTTGTCATGCAGGAGAATAGTATTGAATATACCATGGACTGCTAGGAGAAAAAAGTTTTGTTCTGGAGAGGGTGAAACTAAGCTGTTCCTTGGAGGCAAAAATTCTCAAGCTCTGTCTGACACACTTTGAGCATGCTGCAAAGAGGGAACAGTCCTTAGAGAGGGCCATCATGTTTGGGAGGGTGGAGGGACAGTCCAAGAAAGGAAGACTTTGGATTGACTCAGTGTGACTGGGTTAATGGCAGTAAGAGTGTTGGAGATAATGAGGTTGGCTCGAGACAGAACAGGGCTCAGAGCTGTTATACACAGGGCTGCTAGGAGCCACAAGCAATTCTACAACACTTCACAACAAGAAGATGAAAAAGCTTCATCTCACATACTTTGGGCATGTTGCTAAGAGAGGCTATTCCTTGAAGAAGGACATCATGATTGGAAAAGTGAAGGGTCAGTGAAAGAGATGAAGATCCTCAACCAGAAAGACTGACAGTGACTGCAGCAATATGCTCAAGTGTGTCTGGGATGATGAGGATGACACAGGATAGGTCAGGGTTATTCACAGGGTCACTATGACTAGTACTCAACTAAAGGGCACCTAAAAAACAATAATAGGAAGTGAAAGAAGCCACACTCAAAAGGGTATGTACTACATAATTTCATCAATATGACTCTCTTAAAAAGACAAAGTATTGGGACAGACATCAGAGTAATAAGAGCCAGGGATAAGGGATGGAAAATGCGTTAACTACAAAGGGGCACAAGGGAATTATTTAATGGGTTGAAATTACTCTTTATCTTGATTGTGGTGGCAGTTATATAACTATATATGTCAAAACTCAGATAATAGTTCACAATAATGATGGATTTTATTTAAATGGTAGCATTTTATAAACTCTTTCAATAAAAATTATTTTAAAATCAAACAAAGAACCCCTACTATTAGTATGCTCATAAAGTTTCTGCATGTCACCAAAAGAGAAATTAATTCAAACAGGACCATTTAAAATGAGGTCTACACTAAGCTTAGTCCACAAAGGTAACATTCTACATTCTATAATGGTAAGTAGTGATTAGGATATTAAAAGTTTGCAAATGGCCATCTAAAATGCAACTAATGGTCTTTTCCCACTGAAACAAAGAAGAGTGAAGAAAATCAAAGGCTCAAGGCAATAATTTGCCCAAAGGACTGAGAGACCATGCAAACTACTGCATCTACTAGCCCAAGATCAGAAGAACCAGATCATGTCCAGCTATCATTCCTCGACCAATCTACTACAGAAGGGATTACAATAGACAGTTCTGGACAGAGTATGAAGAAAAAGTAAAACAAACTTCAGAACTGTAAAAAAGACTAGATTTATTGGTTTCCTAGAGAGCAGTAGAATCTTTAAGACTATGGCCATTATGAGAAGCTCTGTTGGCCTAATGGTAAGAACCTGCACTGCAATTCCCAAAGGCCTACAGTTTGGATCCATCAGCTTCTAGCACCACAGTTGTCTGCTGCTATGTACCAGAGAGTCAGAACTGACCCATAACTGACTTTCTGGTGGGATTTCAGAGGCAGTGAACTGCATAGGAGGAGACTGTCCATCCTTGTCCTCTGCTGGAGGCCTCGAACCGCATGCCTTCAGGATTGGAGTGCAACTTCTTGCCACCGAAGTTCCACAGTAGAATGATGAACAATTTCCTCCCATGCAACTTACTACCTCTGAAAACCCACTGAGGAGAGTCAGCTATGAATCAGTTCTGACTCAAAGGCACACAACAACAACAAGTCCATTAGACACCCTTCAAATCTGCACCAGAACCCACACTTGGATATCACTTGTCAGTCAAAGTTAACAACTACATGTCTAAAGCTAACAATAACACCAGTAAGGAACACACACCACACTTAAACAAGACCAAAGGCCAGCATTTGTCAGAAAATAAAGTTCAAAAGGCAGGAAGGGGCAGGAAAGAAGGACAAACAGAAATGGGTAACTCAGGGAAGAAGTGAGTAGAGTGCTGATACACTGAGGGGACTGCAATTAATGCCACAAAATGAAATGCCTATAAAATACTGAATGGAAAACTGACATACTCTGAAAAATTTCACACAAACTACAATTTTTAAAAATCACAATTACAGGAAACAACAGCAAAAAACAGGGCTGCAATGTCACACACACACATGAATACATTCTTTCTGTCATCTTTACCCTCTGACAGGCCTAGTAAAGGGCATTTCAAAGGAACCACTGCATCTCTAAATTTTACCTGAGTCGTGGATTGTTTCAAGACTGGGAAAAAGCACTAATAACGCAAAAGACCTAATACCTTTACAGAGGCTATGGAGTTCGGAAAAAGTAACAGGAGTTCCTAAAAATCGCAGTGTCAACTGCATTCCCCCTTTTTGTTCTTCCTCAGGGAACAGGTATGGGCACAAACTCCTCAGTGCTGCACTCACCTTTGTCGTGACTGCGTTTACATCGTCTGGATCTCTGTCCTGCAGCACTCCCTTACAGAGGAGACTGGATTGTGCAGAGGCAATGAAAGTAGGCCAAGGCGACCGAGCACTCCAGTTACTGTTATCAGCCAATCACAAGGCCCTCCCCTGAAGAGTTTAGCTCAGAGGTTAGAACTCTTTCAAAAGCAGTTTGTTCTGTCAGGCTAAACCTACAGGGACTGACCTGTTGGGCTTGCTTTTCTACAACATTAAGTTGAGAGTTTATAATTTGAGGTCCTAAGTCAATCTCTGTTGTGAGGTTGGTGGTCTCTCCTTCTACATTTACCATTTCTGTCTTTCCCTTTTTCTCTTTCACATGCACGGAGATGACAAGCCAACTTCTTTGGCTTTATAGCCCAGAAATAGTAAATGAAAGGCCACTTTACACCCCAAGAGTGTCATGAAACTCAGCTGCTTTGTCCCAAGGTACATTATAACTACAGTATGGTCACTTTTCCATCCAGGATCACAAGCTCTGGAAATCTTTTGGGAGTTGTTTCTGCAGAGGTTGAGGGGGTTGTACCTTTTGGTCTTCCATCCGCTGACACCAACTTCTTCGTTTCTGCTGTTAACAACAGTTCATAAGGATGCTCATCGTCTTCCCGGGCCGCACTGCCTTGGCTCCTGGGTCTCAAGGCCAGAACCTAAGAGGAGAAAAACAAAACAGGACTTCTCATCTATACCAAGACAAAGTGCTCCGAATTATGTTCTAGATTATTGGCTCTATTATTACCACTGAGGTAAAAAAAGAAAATGAAAACAAAGAAAATGGAAAGGTATGTGATGGGGTGGGGAAGAAAAGGAGGAGTCCCACTGTGTCCCATAGAATCCCAATGCCTCGCTCTTATCTGGATGCACACATAAATCTCCATGCCTGTGCCTTATAGTGCTTTCCTTACCCTCCCTCATTTTATTCTTCCAAAGACTAGAAATCAAATCCAAGAAATTCCTTGCCTCTCTCTTGCTCCATAGGGTTCTGTACGATCTCTTTGTGGATAACAAATCCAAGTATTTTTTAACCACACTGCCTCATTAGGCCTCTTCCTCCATGTTCTTTTCCTAATATATACACAAAGTACCATTAAATGTGTGGGATCCTTCACACCTCCACAAGTGAATTAAAACCACCTCCAATGAACTCCCTGCACTTCACATTTACTAGAAACAAAGCGGTTTCTAAGCCTTTCTCTGGTTTTAAAAATATTTTTTTAATTGGTTTACATACACAATCATTCATACACATTGTGTTTCATTCATGTAAATTGTGTTTTATGCAATCATTCATATATATTAAGCTTTTTTCCCCAAAGGTCCTGGGAGATATATTGAAACATTTTCCCAAAGCTGGCTACCTGCCACATTTATGATCATGTAATTTTATATGAAGTCTATTGGCAGCATCAGGATGGATGGTGAAGAGATTGAGATTGTTAACAGCTTTAGTTTGCTTGGCTCCATAGTCAACACTCTTGGCACCAGCAGCCAGGAAATTAAGACATATTGCAAAGGTAAGTTTGCTGTTAGGGACCTCTCCAAAGTACTGAAGACCAATGGTGTCACTAAGGAAGACTAAGGTGTGTCTGATACAAGCCATGGTCTTTACAATCACTTGCTATGCATCAGAGAGCTGGACAATGACTAGAGAGGATAGAAGGAGAATTGATAACTTTCAGCTGTGGTGCTGGAGAAGAGTATTGAATGTACCATGGACTGCTAACAAAACAAACAGGTTCATCCTGGAGAGGGTTAAACCAGGCTACTCCTTGGAGGCAAGGATTCTGGGGCTTCGTCTGATGTACTATGGACATGTTGCAAGGAGGGACCAGTCCTTGGAGAGGGACGTCATGCTTGGGAGGATGGAGGGACAGCGCAGGAGGGAAAGACCCTCTATGACGTGGATTGATTCAGTGACTGGGGTAATCGGGATGGGTGTGTCAGAGACAGTGAGAATGGCACAGGACAGAGCAAGTTTTAGGGCTGTTGTACACAGGGTTGCTATGAGACGCAAATGACTCGACGACATAACAATAACAACTGAAGAAAAAAAATACAGTAGCTACAGTGTTAAGTGAAATAAAAGCAGCACAGGCCATGAAGAAATTCCTAATCTAAGTAGTCAAGTGTCCCTGGTAAAATGACTAGACCAGAGGTAGCGCCTATACATAATGATGACCTGGCAGCTTCAGCTAGTTATGGTATTTGTGAAGCCAGGCTTCACTTTGGACCAAGTAAGAAACAACCAGAATTAGTGCCATAGCTACACTAGGAGAAGTGACAGAGATCCTTGTTTTAGTGGATAGTTGTGAAATATCTGCCCTAAGAATACACAGTGCTTCACAAGCAAATGATGGATATTTATATACCCTTTTTCTCACTACCATCAAGTTGGAACTGGCTCACAGCTGACCCTCTAGTAGATCTTCAGAAGCTATAAGTCACATAGGAGATGATCCATCTTTCACGCACAGAGCCAATGGTAGATTCAAATTGCCTGAGAGGCACCACCTTTGCGTTAGTGCTCAGTATCTCCACTCAGTAGGCCACTGAAGCCATATTTAGATTCTAGATGTTAGGAAAAGGGAGCTCTGGTAACATGAGCTGTAGAAATTTACACTGCTAACTCAAAGACAGAGAGTTTGGTAATTCAAATCTACCAGTGGCTCCTTCAGAGAAAGACGGACAGTCTCCTCTGTTAAGATTTACACAACTGCAATGGAATACTACGCTGCATTGAAAAACAAGGAACTCATGCAATATTATTCAAAATGGGTGACCCTGAAGGACATTATGCTGAGTGAAGTATCTCAGTCACACAGGGACAAATACTGCATAGTGCCACTGTTGTAAAACAGGACTGACATCGGGGTTGGAGGGAGACTGAGAAAGATGGGATAAATAATGTATATTGCATTGAAACAGATGAGGGAGAGAACTGTTTAAAAGGGATATGTGATTAGGTATTATTGTCATGACAGGAGTCCAGAAAGAAGGCTGCTGCATAGTGAGGGGGAGGGAGTTGTAAAACAATGAAAGAGTTTTTATTTTATTTTTCAAAGAGAAGAGCGTACTGGTGGGGGAGGGGTGGACAGGGAGAAAAGTGCAACAATGAATGAATGGAAATCCAAAGTCGCTGTAAATTTTTCATTAAAATTAATAATTATAAAAAAAATTTTTTAAAAAAAGAAGGGGGAAAAAAAGATTTGCATAGCCTCAGAAACCTAACAGAGAGTCAACTGTGAGTCAGAACTGACTTGATGGCATTCAGTTTTGGTTTTGTGATATTCGGAAAGCAAGCCAAAACAGAATTTCTTTTTGTCAGTTTGTATTAGACCAGAAACATATTATGATCAAGCAACACTCTCAATTCCATCTAACAAATAATAGCACCCTACAAACATGGTTTTATTTTTGTTTTGTTTTTGCATACAGACAGAACTCGCCTCACACTGACACATCTCTGAGCTCACTGGAGACATGTCAGGTTTGCAATTCATCAGCTTCCCGTTTTCAAAGACATAGCTCACTATAGCCTAATGAGACAACAAGTATTCTGGCAGCCTCAAACTAAATGAGAGAAGCCACAGCTCCTGTTTGTTAACAAGGATACCACTCTAAAGGCAGAATGACAGTCTCTTTCTAAAATTCTGCTCAGCACAGCAGGAACCTCCACTTACTGCCTGCCACCTGGGAAGCGAAAAGCTCTTTCATTACAATAAGCCATTTGCCTGTATTATTTATTCCTTTTGACTCTTCACAGGAACACAATTAAGGGAACAAAGAGGGACCATTAAGCAGTTCAGAGTGTCAACTTAATACCACAGGCCTTCCAGATAGGAATTTGTGTTATGCAAGTTTATACACACATGGCTATCAGTTATGCAGGGCCTTAGAAATCTGATTCTACCAGTGTTCTGCATACCATACCACAGGAGCTCCCATACAGCCCCAGGCATGCTTCACACTGAGAGGTAGCTGACAGCTTGATGCCTGGCCTCTGACATTCTTTCTGGAGCAGGACCTCCATATCAGACACACTGGACCTGTGTTCACTAAGTGCCTGGTTTTCATGCAGGATAACTACAATCACAGAGCTTCAAATGTCAGAGTTGAAAGGGACCCAAACTGTTGTCAGGATTAGAACCAACAAGGTAAGAGCGGCAGAAGTTCACATGAGTGATCAGAGCCAGGAAGCAGACACAGACATGTATGGAATTAGTGATTTAGGCACATAAGTGATGTCCAAGATAGTGGACTGGAATAAGAACTACCAAGATGTCAGCCTAGAGACAAAGGTGTGCCTGATCCAGGCTACAGTCTTCACTATTGCTTTCTATGCATCAGAAAGCTAGATAAATGACTAAGGGTGACAGAAGAATTATTGTACTTTTGAGTTGTGGTATTGGAAAAGAGTCTTGAACATACCATAGACTGCCAAGGGGATAAAAAGGTCTGTCCTAGAGAGGATGAAACCAAGTTGCTCCTTGGAGGCAAGGATTTTGAAGCTCCATCTCACATAGTTTGGGCATGCTGCCAGGAGGGACCAGTCCTTGAAGGAGGACATCTTGCTTACAAGGGTAGAAGGACAACACAGGAGAGGCAGACCCTGATGAGACGGACTGACACAGGTAATGGTGATATGTGTGTTGGAGACAGTCAGACTGGTTCAAGATAGAGTAAGGTTCAGAGCTATTGAACATAGGGTGGCTGTGAGTTGATGATACATAACCACCACCACTACCAAAGTTTGAACTGACATCACATCATCTCATTGGCCCAGACTATGGCTCCAAGGCACAGCCAGAGAAGAAAGCCCTAAACACCATCTTACCTCAGTGGCACACTGCCTCCTCAGTTACTTCTCTTCCAAGGTGGAAGGCTTGTCCTGATCTTTGGACTGTACCTTTCTATACCTACCTTGACTTTTTACCTTCACTTCTGCCTTTCTTCTTGGCCTAGCACTCCAACAGGGCCTCAGTCTACACTTTAGGCCCAACACTCCAAAAGGGCCTTGGCCTCCAATGGGATTATTTATTCTGAGCAAGACCAACACTAGCTCTTCTATTGGCTCCCATGCTATCCACTAAAATCAGTTCTCCCAAGGGCCACTGAAATTGCTGTCACTGTGTTATCTGGGTAGCTTCAGCACTCTCCCCTACTTTAGTCTCTCTCACCTGGCTTCATTTTTAACCAGATGAGGAGAGTGAGCCAGGGCTTTAACCCCATGGCAACACCATTACACTCACAGCCACGGAGCACCTGGCTCCAGCCCTTCCATTTTGCAGATAGCAAAACCTATCTCCCAGAGAAGACTCACCCAAGACCCCCAGAGAGCTCAAAGAAGTGCAATGGTCGTAAAACTCAGTTCTGATTCAGGACCCAGAATGGCCAGTTATTTCCTGGGTTACATGACTTCTTTACCCAATTAGATATCCCTTCCCTCCTCAGACTTCTAATGAGAGTTCCCTGTATGTAATATAGGTAACACGTACAGTGGTCATTTCCTTGTGGTTTAGCCCCTACCAGCTATGAGAATAAAATTTTACAATAAAGCTTCTCCTTCTCAAGCCTTCATTACTTTGCTCAAGAAGCCATGTGCCACAGTGAATGTGTCAGTAACTGAGTTTCAACAGAAAAAAATTCTACT